AGGTGAGCAGGGAGGGCTGTGGAGTTGGCCCTCTCCCCCGGGTCCCCCTGACCTCGGTCTGGCAAGTGACACTGACCCCAACTGTTCCCCTTCCCCCTCCGGCCCGTGCCAGACATCACCCATCAGTCACGAGCGCTCCTTTTCAGCTCGATCCAGACTCAGAATCCTCAAGACAGCCACCCCAGCCCGTGTTCTCCGGACATACAATCCGTCTGCCATTCCTTCCCTGGACTAAACCCACCCAAGACAACCGGGGAGCCCCACAGGACACTTTTTAATCATCTCTCCCATTGTGGAGCCGGAGGAGTCCGAGGAGAAGGCCGGCTGAGAGGCTCGGAGGAGTCAGGAAGGAACAAACCATTCCGACACCAAGCTCTTCCCGGAGCTCAGCTCCCTGATTGAACCTGGGCCAGACTGGAGGGTTCCTCGGAACCCAGCATTGAGCACCGTGGCCTTAAACGCAGCCCTGCACCCGGGACCCAAAGGCCTGCCGGGGCCGCTGTCCTGGCAGACGGGGACCCGCCCGGGCTGTCACACCGGTTCTGTCACCCTAGGGCTCTCAAATAACAGGGCAGGGCCCCAAGCGGATGTGGCCCTGGGTACAACAGGATGCCACTTTGGAGTCACAGCCGGCCGAGGCTCCCACGGCTGAGGGTCAGGGTGACCTTGGGCCGGGCCGGCCGGTGTCCCTCGCTTCTCAGACAGGTACTGGGCGGCTCCTGCCCTGTCCTCTGCCCAGGGGGCTCACGGGCGGCCGGGCGGGTTTCACCACGGGCTTAATCGTGGGGAGCAAACTTTGTTTTCTGAGCTTCATTCTGCTGCTTCCCTGCCCACGCGGGAACGAGAAGGGTTGTTCCGGTGGTTCGACGGTGTTTTAAAACGCTTCATGCATTCGTGTTCCCGGCCCAGAGGAAGGAGCAGCCGGTTAACGGCCTCGTGTAAATAAGGGAAACGTCCGGCGGTGTGTTTGACGGGCGCTGGGTGTCTCTGCATCTGCAAACAGTGTTACAACGGATATGGCTCTTCCTCACTAAAAGTCTGATTTTTTTAAAATGTTGTTTCCTGTCCTGTTGTTATTATTAAAAAAGAGAGAGTTTAGGCCGGGCGCGGTGGCTCACACCTGTAATCCTAGCTCTCTGGGAGGCCGAGGCGGGAGGATTGCTCGAGGTCAGGAGTTCGAAACCAGCCTGAGCAAGAGCGAGACCCCATCTCTACTATAAATAGAAAGAAATTAATTGGCCAACTAATATATAAAAGAAATTCAGCCGGCATGGTGGCAAGCAGTGGCCTGTGTCCCAGGCTTACTCGGGAGGGATGATGGCAGGAGGATCCGCTTGAGACCCAGGAGATTTTGAGGTTGCTGTCGAAGGCCTAGGCTGAACGCCCACGGCACTCCACTCGAGCCTGGGCAACAGAGTGAGACTCTGTCTCAAAAAAAAAAAAAAAAAGAGAAAGTTTAGAGGCAGTGGGAGGCTTAGAGATCCACAGAGTACCAGCATGATCACGTAGTAGAAGCTTAATGCGTATTAGTCGCTGGGTTGCATTTATTTATTTATTTGTTTGGTTTTTTTGAGACAGAGTCTCACTCTAGAGTGCCATGGCATCAGCCCAGCTCACAGGCAACTCAAACTCCAAGCTCAAGTGATCCTCCTGCCTCAGCCTCCGAGTAGCTGGGACTACAGGCATGCGCCACCATGGCCGGAATTTTTGTATATATATTAGTTGGCCAATTAATTCTTTCTGCTTTTAGTAGAGGACGGGTCTTGCTCTTGCTCAGGCTGGTCTCAAACTCCTAAGCTCAGACAATCCTCCCGCCTCGGCCTCCCAGAGTGCTGGGATTGCAGGCGTGAGCCACTGCACCCCGGCCTAGCATTTAAACATACTTGTACACGTGCACGCATGTTCCTTCTTATTGGAGAATGGGATTTTTTTTCATTGATGCATAAAAGCCACAGGCTCCTTGCACAGAGAAGTTGGAGCTACAGACCACTAGATCAGCCACAAACACACCCAGGGAGAGCGAATTCTAGATGGCGGTCGTTTTTCAGCCCGGGTCACTGAGCCATCACGAGCCACCCCAGAAGGAGCAGAGCTTGGTGTCTGGGCGAGGCAGAGTTATAAATCGTGTTCGGTGCCTCTTTGCTTTTAAAGAGTCTGAGCCCATTTGGAGAGGAGTGAGTTATCCCCCGGGCTGGAACTGTGACGATCCGGAATATGCATGAGAGAGAGGCGTTCCCAAGAGGCGAGACCCCCGACAG